ATTTTGGATATTTTTCTACATTTTCATATATATATATATGTTCTATGTTGTAATTGAAATCAAAGTGTATATTATTTTTTATTACAAATATTTGCACTGTAAAAATGATAAAATAAATAATATTTTTCAATTCACCCCGTACAGGTACTGTAATGCAATCGCTTTATCATGAAAATGCAACTTACAAATGTAGATTTTTGTTGTTGTAAGATAACTGCACTCAAAAATAAAACAATGTAAAACTTCAGAGCTTACAAGTCCACTCAGTCCTACTTCTTGTTCAGCCAACTTCTAAGATAAACAAGTTTGTTTACATTTACGGGAGATAATGCTGCCCACTTCTTGTTTACAATGTCACCAGAAAGTGAGAACAGGCATTTGCATGGCACTTTTGTTGCCGGCATTGCAAGGTATTTATGTACCAGATATGCTAATGTTTGTATCCCCCTTCATGCTTCGGCCACCATTCCAGGGGACATGCTTCCATTCTGATGACGCTCGTTGAAAAAAAAAATGTGTTAATTAAACTTGTGACTGAACTTCTTGGGAGTGAACTGTATGTCTTCTGCTCTGTTTTACCCGTATTCTGCCATATATTTCATGTTATAGCAGTCTCGGCTGATGATCCAGCACATATTGTTCGTTTTAAGAACACTTTCACTGCAAATTTGACAAAATGCAAAGAAGCTACCAATGTGAGATTTCTAAAGATAGCCATAGCACTAGACCCAAGGTTGAAGAATCTGAAGTGCCTTCCAAAATCAGAGAGGGATGAGGCATGGAGCATGCTTTCAGAAGTCTTAAAAGAGCAACACTCTGATGCGGAAACTACAGAACCCAAACCACCAAAGAAAAGAAAATCAACCTTCTGCTGGTGGCATCTGACTCAGATAATGAAAATGAGCATGAATTGGTCTGCACTGCTTTGGATTGTTATCAAACAGAACCTGTTATCAACATAGATGCATGACCTCTGGAATGGTGATTGAAGCAAGAAGGTACATATGAATCTTTAGCGCATCTGGCACATAAATATCTTGTGACGCCGGTTACAACAGTGCCATGCAAATGCCTGTTCTCACTTTCAGGTGACATTGTAAATAAGGAGTGAGCAGCATTATCTCCTGAAAATGTAAACAAACTTGTTTGAGCAATTGGCTGAACAAGAAGTAGGACTGAGTGGACTTGCAGGCTCTAAAATTTTACATTGTTTTATTTTTGAATGCAATTTTTTGTACATAATTCTACATTTGTAAGTTCAACTTTCATGATAAAGAGATTGCACACCAGTATTTGTATTAGCTGAATTGAAAAATACTATTTCTTTTGGTTTTTTACAGTGCAAATACCTGTAATCAAAAATAAATATAAAGTGAGCACTGTACACTTTATATTCTGTGTTGTAACTGAAATCAATATATTTGAAAATGTAGAAAACATCCAAAAATATTTAAATAAATGCTATTCTATTATTGTTTAACAGTGCGATTAATCGCAATTAATTTTTTTTCATCGCTTGCCACCCCTAATGATGACCCAACTCAAAGAATGGGGAAGATAGTGTTGAGAAGACGTAGCACTCAGTCCTGTGAGCTGCTGAGTGCCCTCAAGATTTGTTGAAGTCAGGGAGTAGAGGCTACCTTTTGTGAGTAAGTCTGCAGACTCAGCTCATGAGTGCCTGGACATGACAAGGGCTCTGCAGAGTACAGAAAACTGTTTGTTAGAAGTCATTTTACACGGCTGGGGATTTGGATTGTAAACACATTGGATGAGGAAATGCCTTATCTAAATAAAATTATCCATAGGAGCAGTCCAGCACTCATGAGCAACCCCGCCATGCCATGCCAGTATGTTTTCCTTGCTCTCATACATATACACAACATGGTCCCAGCTTCAGGCTGCCAGTAAGTTTTAATATTAACCACAATGAAAACATATTTTAAGATCTTGACTTTAGCAAAGCTTTTGATACTGTCTCCCACAGTATTCTTGCCAGGAAGTTAAAGTATGGATTGGATGAATGGACTATAAAGTGGATAGAAAGCTGGCTAGATCGTTGGGCTCATTGGTTAGTGATCAATTGATGGATGACTAGTTGGCAGCCGGTATCAAGTGGCGTGCCCCGGGGTCTGTCCTGGGATCGGTTTTGTTCAACATCTTCATTAATGATCTGGATGATGGGATGGATTGCGCCCTCAGCAAGTTTGTGGATGACACTAAGCTGGGGGAGGGGGGAAGAGATAGATACGCTGGAGGGTAGGGATAGGGTCCAGAGTGACCTAGACAAATTGGGCTAAAATAAATCTGATGAGGTTCAACAAGGACAAGTGCAGAGTCCTGCACTTAGGATGGAAGAATCCCATGTACTGCTTCAGACTAGGGACCAACTGGCTAAGTGGCAGTTCTGCAGAAAAGGACCTGGGGATTACAGTGGACAAGAAGCTGGATATGAGTCAACAGTGTGTCCTTGTTGCCAAGAAGGTTAACTGCATATTGGGCTGCATTAGTAGGAGCATTGCCAGCAGATCGAGGGAAGTGATTATTCCCCTCTATTCGGCACTGGTGAGGCCACATCTGGAATACTGCATCCAGTTTTGGGTCCCCCATTAAAGAAGGGATGTGGACAAATTGGAGAGAGTCCAGTGGAGGGCAACAAAAAAGATTAGGGGGCTGGGGCACATGACTTATGAGAAGAAGCTGATGGAACTGGGCTTATTTAGTCTGCAGAATAGAAGAGTGAGGGGGGATTTGATAGCAGCCTTCAACTACCTGAAGGGGGGTTCCAAAAAGGATGGAACTAGGCTGTTCTCAGTGGTGACAGATGACAAAACAAGGAGCAATGGTCTCAAGTTGCAGTGGGGGAGGTCTAGGTTGGATATTAGGAAAAACTATTTCACTAGGAGGGTGGTGAAGCACTGAAATGGGTTATCTAGGGAAGTAGTGGAATCTCCGTCCTTAATGGTTTTTAAGGCCTGGCTTGACAAAGGCCTGGCTGGGATGATTTAGTTGGGGTTGGTCCCGCTTTCGAGCAGGGCGTTGGACTAGATGACGTCCTGAGGTCTCTTCCAACCCTAGTCTTCTGTGATTCTATGATCTCATGGCAGGCACCTTGCCAGCATCCTTCTAATTGACACTGAACTGATTCTTGAGCTCTTTCTCCCCTCATTCAATTATCTGAGAGCAGCACAGAAAAAACTTTCAGAAATGTCCCCCCCCCCCTTTTTTTTTAAAGCAATCCTAACTTGCAGGTTAAACTTCTAACGCCAGTCCCCCAGTGGTTTTTCTCTGTGCTGTCACTGCCTGCCTGCCAGCCAACACGATTCCAAAAATTCAACAAACCCCATTCAGTCACTCCCGTATTTGGGGCAACATTCATTTCTCACAGAAATGCTTAAATTTTTGGTGATGTTTTCTGATATAAACCTTTTGAAAGTTAGAAAAACCTTAGAGTGGTAGTGACGTCAGGAAACCCAAACCTTTCTTATATAACCATTAATTAGGCCCTTGGAATCAGAAATACAGCTTCAAAGTAACTTTTAAGCATTTCTCAGCCTGATGAGTTTGGTTTCTGACAGCAGCCTAGCCAACTTGACTGTGCTGCTACAAGGTTGTTTGTTTGTTTGTTTCCAGCTGCTGGCTGAATTGTAGACAGTTGCTCACAAACAATGCTTTAATGTGCTGCTATTTTTCATTTTACGAACAATTAAAGATAGTGAGCCAAACTTTACCCTCTCCTCCACTGAAATCAAACGAGTTATACTGTGGTTGCATATGGCACATAGTTTTAAGAGCCATTTTATTAAATGCTAGAATAAAAGCTAAAATCAAAACCTCCAGGGTAGAAGAATTAGGCTGAGGAAAAATTACCATTGTGAATTTTGTAACAGTTTTTGTACTGGAAAAAAATGCATATATATGAAAAATTGAAGCCTTTTATTCTAATTTCTTACCAAATACAGCAAACAGAACTTCACTTGAGTTTGAATAGTAATATTTTGCACTTACACAGCTTCTTTCATCATAGGATCACAAAGCAATTTACAAACTTTCCTTAATTAATCCTCAGCAGCCGTTTGAGGACGGTAAGTGCTATACAGACAATCAAACTTAGATACAAAGAGGTTAAGACCAACATTCTGAAAAGAGTTAATTTATTTTGGATGCCTCTGTTTTTTTGGGTACCCACCATAAGCCACCCAGAAACCAAGGAGCTCCGGCTTAATGGACTATCTTAAACATTGGGCCTAACCGACTTAACTAAGGTCTCACAGTAAGGCCAGTGTTAAAAGTGGCCTCCAATTTTGGGCTCCTCTGTTTTTGTGGCCTGCTTGAGACAACTTAAGTCTGATTTTCAGAAGTGCTAAGCACTCACAATTCCAACTAGAGTCACTAACTAGGAGCTGCAGGTGACTCAGCATCTCTGCAATCAAGCTTAAGGCATCTCAAACTGGGCTCACAAAACCAGAGGCCACTTTTGAAAATTTGGCTCCAGAGGCCCAATGTTTTCCTCGTGCTGAACATCCTTAATTCCCACTGAACTCAATAGGAGTTGAGGGTTTTCAGTACCTCACAGGATTGAATCACTGGGTCACATTTATCAGTGGCAGAATTAGCAAAATAATGCAAGAGACCAGCACTAGCTTCCCAAGAACACTGACAGCCTGGTTATTTCTAACTTCCAAATCCTGCATTTAGGCTTGCAAATGTATGTTTTTACCTGCTAATGTGCTGACTTGAGCATTCAGGCATGTGATCTGAATATCCTATTTAGGCATCAGCTGGGTCTCAGTTTACACACAGTACTAGGCTGTGAGCGGAACTGTGATTAAGTTATAAGTGGCCATCTTTAATGTAGAATTTTCCTTGTCAAAACCTGCTATTCAGGCCACATAGAGATTTTCTGGGATTAAGAGGTGCTGTCTGAGACATTCTGCTTTAGTTAATACACTGTCTACCCACTTCTATGTATTGACCTGTTTCTTTCTTCTGTCTCTTCCCAGAGTTTGTCTGTGAGAGCTGTCATCACTCCCAACTTGGTAAGAACAGCTAATTTTTTCCCCATGTGATACATATTCCTGCTGCCTTGATAAAAACCTGCTTTTACTGAGCTTGGAGATATGCAAAATGTGTCTTGAGAGTAGTGAATTCACTCAAAGTGGCATCTCTATTCTTAAGAGCCTTTTCAAAATGCAGATTAGAACCTAGGCCAATGGAAACAAAAATTTTAGAACATATGTTAATTTCACAAATCTGAAATGGAGGCACTGAATGCTGTGCAGTCAGTCAGGCTTGTGTTAATGTGCACTCTCTGAGGACTTGTATCAGTAGCTTAGAGCAGCTTGTGAGGAAAAGCAAATCTGTTCTCTAACATTAACTGCAAAGCTAACTCCCAGCTCTATCCACTTGTCCATGAGGTTTCGGTTTAATGTTTGTTAACACAGTCAATGCCTTTGTAAAAAAAATTGCATCCAAATCATTTATTTAGGGGCTGAAATGTTTTTTACAGTGTAAGTATGTAACTCACATGGTAATAGAACTTAACAGAAAACTCTGAGGGAAGCCCTGCGACCCCAGGCTTTTTCAAGAGACATTAGTGTTTGGTTTTGTATACTGTGCGTGTGGGTTTATGTGAATCCTTTACACTGAACAGCTAACAAATCTTCAGTAGCTGAATTGTCAATATTGCATAAAATTGTCAATATTAGGGGGCTATTATATCTGACCTTCATATAGACACGTGCTCAAATAGTAGTGTACACAAAAGCCCTTTTTAAAGTTATTGGGCATGAAAATGTGATCCAGTAGCCAAGTAAATGAAGGAGTGGGAGACCTATTGTTGCACTGCAACAGCTTCAGAGTTTGTAACGGTGGAGCTCATTTTTAAGGCTGTGTTTCTGTTATGTGTGGCTTTTGAACAAAGCTCCCCAAAACCCCACCCTCTTGTGTCCACCCTACTTATCTAGGGATGCTAGCAGTGCCCATTGTTTTTGACATAGTCCTGATTTTAATTGGATCAGTCCTGCATCCTACAAACCTAGTTTACAAGACAATTATGAAGTCTTATTTTTCTATCACACCTCACAACTTTACTTTCTTGCCATGACACTGCTTCAACAGCTGGAGTTGACTCTATGCTGGGACGACCACTATAAAGGACTAATGAGAGGACCAATTGTTATCAGGCAAAACAAATGTGTGCAGCCCAAAAGACTCTTTCTCAGAGTCCCTTCCTGATATAGGAGTCCTTCCCCTCTTGGAGATGCTACACCCTTTAGGGGTTCTCTGCTGATGTAACTCTAACTTATGTTAGTGCAAGTGAGCAGAATCAGGCCTTGCTTTGGCTAGACAACAAAACATACCTGTGACACCCTGATGCCCCAATATTCACCACTGTCATGTAATTAGGATACGTTCTGTACAAAGTATGTCTTGTGAGGTATCGTTCTAAGTCTTGATCTGCTAGGCATTAATATCTCGTTGGATTGAATGTGTTATCGTATGTGAAGTTATGAAGTTTGGCTATGTATGTGTTACTGAAATGTTGTGAGGTTGAAAGCACCCACAAACAGCTGTTCAGGTACACCAGTAAAAAGGCTAAACAATGTTAATGGCTTATTGAGGAAATGCACACAAGCACCAGGATTACCCCAGGAACTGTGTACAATAGAAACCTCTCAGAGATAGCACTACACAATGGGAATTGTTTGACCCAGGTCACAGCAAAAGAGCTGTCCAGCAAGTGGGAAGAAGATATAAAAGGGAGACAATGACATCGGGGGTGTGGGGGACTCACTCTCCCTGCAACAACACACCTGGAAACACCTGAGGGGCAAGGACTGAATGGTGGGAAGTGATGGACCCAGGCTAGAAGGATATTTAGTTTGTGTACGAAAACCTGGGAAAGCCAAGACAACTTGTGTCTTAAGAGTCTACCAGTCTGTTTATCACTCAGGGTGAGAATTTGCTAATTTAAATCCTACCTATCTAGTGTGTTAAGATCAGTTTGCAGTTTTTGTTTATTTATGAAGGCAATCTGCTTTGATCTGTTGGCTATCCCTTATAATCACTTAAAATCTACCTCTTGTACTTAATCAATTTTGTTTTTGTTTTAAACCCAGTTTGTGTAATTCATAACCGGGGGTGGGGAAGCTGTGCATATCTCTCTCCACATTGAGGGAGAGGGCGGATTTCAAGTAGCTTACGCTGTACAGTTCTCTGTCCAGCACAAGACAATACTATTTTCGGTTTACTCTCCAGAGGATGAGTGCGCTTGAGTGCTGGGCAATTCCTTAGCTGAGAGCCTTCCCATGCAGTGCTGATTTCAGTGTCTGTGTCTTTCTGCAGGTGTGTGTGTGTGTGTGTGTGTGTGTGTGTGCGCGCGCTAGAGGAGGCTTGAGGGCCTAGCTTAGCAGGACAGGGTGAGGGAGCCCAGGCTGGTGGAACAGGTAGGCTCAGAGGTATCCCAGTACATCAGGTGGCACCCTGAAAGGAGGGGCAACCCATCACATATTGAGTCTGGCCCTGCCTGGACATATCATATTAACGACATGTGACTGTCTTGCATTGGAAACTTCATATCTATGGGGTAATGTGCCTCATAGTGAAAACTGTGACAGGTACCACCGAGTCCAGCATGGCATAACGCTGGAGGAGAGACTCAGTATGCACAGTAGAAAGGAGCAAACACGCACCGCATAGAGCAGCTCAGGGACCTTGACTGCTGTGAAATTATTTATCTTTTAGTCACATGAGCTGGTCAATGCTGGTGTGGCGTGAGCTGCAAGGTGTGGCTTAAAGTGGTACGTGTATGAATGTACCATACAGCTATATTTGGGATAGCGTCTTTCAGCCAAGCTGTATCCCCACGTGCTGTGCCATGGGACTTACATAATAGTTACAGAGAGGTTAGGAGGCGTAGGAGAAGAAATGCTTTCTGATCTAGCTCCTCAGGGAAAGGTAATTCCATTTTGTGGAGGATTTTGAAATTGTTTCATTGCACTTTGGAATGAAAACAAAACATTTCAAAACTCTCCATGAAAGGGACAGGCCTGGGTCTGCAATACTGGGGTAGTCTGCCTGGCTGACGGCCATGGAGCCACAGACTCTGGGAGTGAGGATCCACATCTTGAACCTGGGTCCGTGGGTCTCCAGGCAACCCTTGTATCCCAGCTACCATCTGGCAGTTTGTGAATAACTGCTAGGCTGAATGGCTAATGGAACCCACCAGAGGCGCTGCCCACAGCAGTCCTGACTGGAGCAGCCCCCAGCCCCATTGATTGGTTGGCCTGTGCTATTTAAGCCAGAAAGAGGCACAGGAAGGTGTCTGTGCAACTGGGTGAGTTCCTGGCTGGCTGATGTGTTGGACCCTTCCCTCTCACCTGACTCCTGAACCCTGCTTATCTGACTTGTCCCTGGGTCCTGCTGTGTTACTGATCCCTGCTCCTGTTCTCTCTGATTCCCACTCTGACCCTTGGCCCGGGCATCTGGGTGCTGACCCTCAACTCTGTCTCCCGGCACCTGACTCCTGTTCAGGCCCCTAGGTCAGACCACATATATCACGGTCCCTAACACTGGGCTGATGAGGAGCTGGGAGATTGGAAGCTGGTGCTCCCAGATCTTCCAGATTCCTGGCTCCCCTTCGTCATGCCAGGAGGAGCCTGGCAGTTCTGCTTCATGGCAGCCCACCAGGTGAGCAACAGAAAAGGCTGGAAACTTAGAAGCTTGGGAGCAGGCTCTCAGCTCCCCATCAGCCCACCAAGTGAGCTGCCAATTGAGGCAGGCAGGCGTCTGCGTGAACCCTGCCTGCTTTCCCTCAGATGTCCATCAAAAGTCAGCCATCTTGATTGTGATGAATTGGCATTCTCTGATGGGAAAACAGCCTGTTAGGGAATTCCAACCAGCTCTACTTTCTGATGAGATTTGAAAACAGATGGTGACTTGAAAAGGCAGAGAGGCTGTTCCAGCTGATAAGGAATTATGGGGGAAAAGGCTCTTACCCCAGCAGCAGTGAGATTGTGCCTGTAGGGATCTGTCTTCTACTCCTGAGTTTTCATAGCTACACTCAAGTGAATAACCCTGTGATGTGGGTTAGGGGTACCAGGAAGAACTGAGCTGCTACCTAGACAGTCTGCAGTTTCCCACCCAATGAGCATCAAAGGTAGCTTGCAGCTGGGAAGCAGAGTTTGGCTCTCTGCTGTGTGGACAGGGAGAGTGGCCTTATTCATACAGATGGTTGACCTATGCCATCCTGCCTGGAGCCACACAGTTACGGTTACGGCTACCTCACCCATGCCTAGGTCAAATCTTCCCTCCTATCAGGGCTGACAGCCCAAAGTAGGTGTGCAGTGTAATTGCAGCTGTGTCAGTTCCAGGATATTAAGAGAGACAAGTGGGTGAGGTAATATCTTGTATTGGACCAACTTCTGTTGGTGAGAGAGACAAGCTTTTGAGCCACACAGAGCTCTTCTTCAGGCCTGGGAAAGGTACTCCAGCATCTGCAAGGTGGAACTTGCAGGAATGACTGTTCACAGCTGGCCTGCATTTAATTCATGCAGATACTTCCCCAGCGTGCTGGCAAGGGTGATAGTGAATAAGAGTTCAGCTCCCCTCCCCGGACAGATTTTGGGCAACTGCAGCAAGTTTTTCGGCACTTTCATTCTACAGCTAAAATCTATAGGGATATTTTGATCTTACATTTGTATCCACCTTTAGCTCTCTGTTCCCTCCCAATGCATGGAGCTGCAGTTAGAATGTCTTCTTAGAGACTGGAGGCAGCAAGCAATGCTGAGTCTCTCCTCTGTGCCTCCTCTTCCTATCTTTGCAGGAGAACTAGAGAAGAGAGGTTTCAGTCTGGCCTCTCTCTTCCTCTTTCAGCCTGTGGTTTGCAGCCAGCAGAGCTTTCAAAGAGTAAGGTCAAAAGAGACATCTCAAAATAGACTACGGGGATTTGTCACCTGACACCACCCTCACCTTTTCCCTTGAAAAATACATACAGGAGCAGTGTGATAACTGCTGGCTACAGACAGATCACCAGCAC